TTGGGACTGAGTCTACTATCAGATATATATTTTACTTTTGGGAGATACATTAATTATTTCAGATCTTCAATTCACAAAATAAATGAAATACTGCCATTTGTGACAATATGGATGGATCTTGAGAATATCATGCTAAGGCAAAATAAGTCAGACAGAAAAAGTCAAGAACCATATGATTTCATTTATATGTGAGATATAAAACTAAAAGAAAAAACAAGACAAAAAATCACAGACACAACAGTATGATGGTTACCAGAGGGGACGTGGGTGGGGGAGGTAAAAAAGGGTAAAGGGGGTCAAAAGATATGGTGACAGGAGATTTGACTTTGGGTGGTGAACACACACACACACACACACACACACACACACACACACACACACACACAAGAATACCAACCTTTAGTTTAATCAGCACGGAAAATAATATACTACAATTTTATTTAATGTTCTTGCAGAACTTTACAAACTATGCATCAAAATCTTAAGCTTTGGTGTGAACTTTATGGCATCTATTGAGTGAAATATTTTCTGAGCAAGACCAAGTTTAATAATTTAATCATTAAGAAATTACATTCAATAAATCCAACTGGGCAGCTGCTATGCGCCAGGAACCTCATTAGGCTATGGCCATGCAAAGATTAAAAATATGATTCGAGCTAAAATTCTACTGTATAGGAATCAAACATAAGAGGTTATTTCAATTTAACGTGGTAAGCGTGTCACAGTTAAGAACATTATACCGGGTAATACACAGAAAAGGGCATTACACTCAGTCTAAGGGTTTAAAGAAAGATTCTTAGAGAATAGGAGAGTAGAAGATCGTTGATTGAGTGTCAGCTAATTAATAAGACTAGGGAATAGGAATATTGGTCTTCCAAACAAAAGCAATAGCCATTCTGAAGAGAAAGTAAGAAAAAAACATGGTTTTCATTTACATAAGGACAAAAAAACCTCAAGCAAGCAGTTTTTAGAGATAAGGCCAAAGGCTGGAAGGATAGAAAGATATTAAGAGTCATATATAGCATGCTATGAAATGAGATTTTATTCCATAGTCAGTGACTTGATTTAAAGAAGAGAATGATATTTCTTTTATCTCTCTGGTTGCACTGTGAATGAAAGTGGCAACATGTAAACCAAATAAGAGGTTGTGATAGTCCCAGCAAGAAATGAAAGGGGCCTGAACTAATGATGTGATAAAAGTTTGAATGGAGCATCATAGGAATTTATGGTTGCCTCCAAATGGGGACGAAAAAGAAGGATGTAGGAGTCATCCCAAGACTCCCAGGTTTCTCAGTTGGGTAAAAGTGATTTTGACATCATTGAGTTAGAGAACACAGGCAGAGTATTTGCTTGTGGAATGTCCAAAAGAAAAGAGTATATTGTAAGAGTGGCCCTTTCCTATCTTCTACTCTATACAGTTTCTTATTTTTTTCTCTTTAGAGCCTATGACGAATGTAGTCTATAACCATCAAAACTGCCTCAATTGTAATTAATACTCATTAGATTGAAAATAAAAATGTACAAATTATGTAAATAAACTATAGGTTTCTTTATTTAAAAAAAGAGGAAAGATACTTATTTATGTTTTACTTTAAATTTTGCCTGGAATTTTTTTTTAAGGTTTTTTTTTTTTTTTGGACCACTTATTCCTCTTCACCTTTTTACCCCCTCCCCACTAATCCCACCCTCTCATCCCTTCTGGGGTTTACCTTTTAATAATTCAAATTAGAATCCCACATCTAAGGTAGTTCTAAAGTAGTTGCTACTTTGTTACCTTTGAAAGACATCAGCTTTCTGCCAAAATTAATATGCTGAACTTACCAGATTACATTACAATGCATTTTTTAATTTTCACACAGCCAGGGGTCTTTTCTTCTTTGCTGATTTTTTTCAATCTGTATTGTCGGATCTCTCTCACCAATGTATAAAAAGCATCCTCCACTCTCTGCATTGTAAAACACAACTTCTTTAAAGTTTGTTTCATTGGTAATAATAATTTATTGGGACAGCCATGTGCAAGAAGTTTGAAATTATGAGTTTTACTTGAGAATCTCTTTTTAAAACAGACATCAGATTGTTTGAATAAAAAAGGGGATGCAGTTTTAAAATATGGCTTGAATCCTGGTTTGTTCTTTAAAGTCAATTTTGTTTTATAATGGAAATAGAATTTTTAAAAAAATTTAATTAGCAGTTAGGGAAAATTATTAAAAACCTGAGTACATGTATTAGTACCTGTATATCAATTAAAGCAATCATTTTGGTTTGCTAGTCATGGGACTAATCAAAATCTAAACTGAAGTTAAATTTAAATTATTTCTTTGACTTAGGGAAAATAACTGATTTATGTACCACTAATCCCCACCGCTCCTACTCTGCATAAGGAATAACGAGAAAAATGGTACAAAAGGGTTTGTGACCTTTGTTTTAAAAAACACATACAACCCCCCAAAATAAAGTCAGGTCAAGAGACTGAAATCTCGAATTCTACCTTTAATTACAACACTGTCTAGTCCATCTCTAGGGTCAATAAGTGGAGCTGAGACTGGGCCTTCTGTGGGTGGATTAACTATATTTAAATAAAAATGCTAAATGAGGGCTGTTTACCATAATATGAAAACATGAATTGTTAAAAATATACCCATAAGAACTGTAGCAATGCATTTTGTATTTTTATTACGAGTCTTAAAAATAATTTTTAGAACAGTATCCAATTATACTGGCCTCACATCTATTCTAATTTAAATATTCTAAACATACAAAAGGGACTTCTCTGCTTAAAGTTATGGAAAGAAAGCTATGAACAATCAATCATATATGGCCATATGGAGATCAACAGTTTCTAATGTCTTTTCCAGTCCAGAAAATTAGGCAGTAACCAAAGGGGAAAAAGTGTTTAATTCGTCCAGAAAAACACACCACACCAAAGTAGATGCTTATATTTAAAAGAGAAAACACACAAATGTTAATTTACATATAGCGCAAATTAACTTAAAAGATATAATATTTGTGTTCGTTTTTCTCAAAGAAAGATGTGTTTAGGAAAGCTGGTATATTTTATTGCACATTTAACTTAATCTGTTTATTTTAATTTTAAGAATAAATTACTCACTATGGAGACTGGAATATTTTAACTCGCTGGTACTGGTAACATCAGTCTTTCTATAAACCAAATGTGACCAAATGGACTCAGCATCTAAAAAGCTAATACATAGCAAATGTATGATTTTTAGTGTTAAATTCAACTGGGCACAAAGAATCAAATATTTAATTATTAACTGAAGTAAGCCGACAGCTAAGGCTTAATTTCTGCATGCAAAAGTCATTGCATAGTCACTGCTTATAACAGTTAAAGGGAAAAAAGGCACTTCAATTCTTTAGGGTATATTAATTTTTATAAATCTCAAGAATATATTAAGAACTGCTTCAGTAGAGTTTGGTAATTTACCATTAAAGTAAAGCTTTAATTTAAAATTCATAAAATTAAGTTTCAGTTAAAAAGTAGGCATTTAAATATGCTGATTACATATTAAAATGTACATTTCAAGTTATATATATAAAACAAACCAGGTCAAAGCTCATATTTTTTAAGAATGTAAACTTTTATTCTTGTTTTTAAAAAGTTACAAGGTCAACATAGAAGTACTAAAACATGCTATCAGAGGAGAAAAAACAAGGTTTTGATCCTCTAATTTAGGAGAAGCAAATTTTGATCTTAACTTTTTTCTAAAATCAGTTTAGGATGAGTGTGTCTACTTTTTAAGTGTGCACATCCCCATCACCAATATCAGAATATATGATTTTTGTTTCCAGCAATGCAGAGAGAGAATTGGAAGCCAATAATTAAAAAGAAGAGATTACTACCCACCACCAAGATATTCAGTATTTGGACCTCAGTGGTTAAGATAATTAACAACACCAAGAAACAGTTATTCCAGAGTGACTTTTTTCATTTATTCTTACTAACAGAAAATTTAAGATTTTCGAGAATCAATTATCATATTTTCTCACATTTAAATATTTCTTATTTCTTGATAGTATACTTTAAGGTCATACTGCCATCAAGAGAATATTATTTACCCTTGTGTGCACCTTAAACCACTGGCACTGGTACAGAACACTGGTTTCATATTCTAAAGTTTGTAGGTAATTTTTAAAGATAAAGTGTAGCTGAAACGTAGTTAATACCCAATAGTGGCTAGTCACTAAGTTCTTAACTGGCATTTGATGATTTATTTTTGAGAATATGGCTTACTGCCACATATACTCATTTTCAAATGTCATTTATCAAACTTTAAGATCTGGAAATATTTATATAGGAACAAAAGTGCACGAGTGTATACATGTAAATTTTTTTTAAATCAAGAGATTTGACAATATTTTTAGCTCAGCTATTATCTGAAAACATACTTGTGAGATGAAGGAAAGAGAGCACTCCAGGTTAGAGAAAGAACTGTTAACAAATAGTATCATTCCATATCCTGGTGCCTAAACTGCTTTCATTAAGAGATTTCATTCTAAACAAGTATTTATTTCTACTGAATGCTTATTGTCTGCAAAAATTCTTGCAAACTCAAGGAAATAACACTTCAAATACCCTAATTATAGACAGTTCCAAGAACACTAGCCTTCTTAGGGGAGAGGACAGAGAGGAACAAGATGTATTCTAAAAAGCAACTTTGCATTACTGAATTTCTCAAGGCACCTTGCCAAACTATATAGCCCATCTCAGGTATTACCGAAATGCAGCAATACCCACTAACTGGAAGGCTAGGTATGGTGCAAAGCAGATATTCAGAAACTGTTCTATTTTTAACTCATAAAAAGCTAAAGTTCAAAATATTGATTGCATGTACACAAACTCAACTACTATTAAACAGAAATATAGCACATAAGGTTTTTTGTTTGGTTTGCTTTGTTAAAACTATTTGATCAGAAGCTTTCTTTAATGGCAGTTTTCTAACTAATTTTAAGTATCTAGACATTAACAACAAAAACTAGGAAATTAATCATTCAACAATTTTTCAGGTCATAAAGCTAATTTTTACATTATGCTCATATCGAGACCTCCAGAAAGCAAAAAAGCTGAATCAGGAGTAGCAAATAGGCTGAGAATTCTGCTTCTGTTATCCACTTTACTGAACCTCCCTCCCCACTTTTGATTTTAGCAAACTGAAAAACACACAGCTGATTACCATGGTGTCAATGTTTTGGTTTCAACAGCCTTTGCCAATACTGCCATGCATTCCCAAAGAGAACAGGAAAATCTGGCAATTACTAAGCAAACTAGGTAACAGTCTTTATACACTAGGAACACAAGGACCACATACAGCATACTAGCAGAAAATAAAAATTAATTTGACCTTTCAGATGTGGACTAAAATGATTGAGAAAAATATAATTCATTATATTCTTTAAAGTTGGTAAAATACTCTTCAATCCTTATCTTAAAAAGTACTAGAGTAAATTTTTTTTCTCTATTTCCCTCTCACAGAATAGATAAGTTTTACTTTTTATTTACTAATGTTAGCCTGTAAAGTCAAAAGTCTGCTCTAACTTCTAGAGTCTAATCAAATAATACAGTTCCTCAGAGAATCAGGCGTCAGTACCACTACAACCAGAAGGCCAAGTGCTGCCACAGCCTACTCTTTCTACTGCCTACACTAAGAATGATTTTTGCATTTTTAAAAGGATTATAAAGGGGGAGGGGGGGAATACTGCTTGTGGCTCATAAAGCTTAAAATATTATCTGGCCCTTAACAGAAAAAGTTTGCCAGCCCTGACTTATATCTATGAGAAGTTCTAAATGAATGTCCTGTTCCTACTAACTTGAATATAATTTTTTGGTGTTTGTGTTTTAGTTTCATGCTTAAGACCAAAACTTAAGGCATGAAACAAGTAACAACAAGAATATGCATATTTATTTTGTTCAAATAACAAATAAATAATAGATGAGTAATAAATAAAATACTCTGTAGAAAAGAGCTTTAGATTTTCACAAAAACTGGTGATGTAAAATTTATGAAAATTTACATATTTCATTTTATAATCTCCACAATCAGTACTTGGAATAGCTCTTTAAAATCTTTCTAAAGCATGCAAATATCAAATTAATTTCAACAGAAGAAGATGAATAAACTTTTGAAAGGCAAATCAACGAGTCCATGTAATAAAGAAATCAAAGATCAGAAATTCAGTTATAGTTTAGCAACATAAATTACATAAAGATATCAATAAAACAGGATATAAGAAAAGGTGAGCACTAGGAGGTTAAGAAATGAAGTATTCCTTTTAACGCTCTATATTTTAATTACATGATCCACTAAATGTCTACAAAGCATATTTACGTTAATCTACTTCCATAGCATACATATTACATACATCTTCCCCACCTTTCCCCAAAAAACAGTATAAACTCTAAAAATCTATTTTAAAAGAAACCAGGTAGTTTTCTGATTATGAATGCTGTAGCGTTTTAAAGCATTAACATCAAACACTAAGAATCAACTAGTACTGAGAGAAGAACTACTGAACAAGGAAGACACAGCTATTTTAAGCTCTTATCAAATGAAGAAGGGGAGGGCAACACTGAGAATAACAAACTCCCTTTTACTGTCTTTTACTGCCTTTCTGCTCCAGTTGTGACCCATGTACCAAAATCAGCATTATCTGAGAGCTGCTTAGAAGCACAGAATCACAGATCCCAAACTAAACCAACTGAATTAGAATCTGGATTTAAATAAGCAGCTCAGTTCATTCACAGGCATATTAAAGTATGAGAAGCACTGCTCTATTTGCAATCCTTTACAACATTAGGCAAAGTCTCCTAGGTTTTTTCTTTTCTTTATAAAATGTAAACTAAAATTGTAACCAGTTTAAAAAGTATCTTTTAAATAAAAGTTAAAAATAATGCAATTTAATAAAATGTTATTGGTATAACCTAGGTAGTAGGTTTGCAAATGTTTTTGATAAAATTCCTTCAATTTTATATTGCAAAATTTTGATAAAATGTTCGGAGAAAAGGTTTTAAATATTATAATCATGTTTTCTGAGTATCCACTCTCTAAGGGAAATCAAGAAATCTGGTCAAGACCAGTAAAAAAGACAAAAACCAAACCTCTTCCCAGACTTTAAGATCTAGGAATGGATTTAAATGAAATCTTAATTCCTCCAAAATAAAGTGTTGTATATCAAGTCTTTCTTTAACCTATAAATCAGGCTTTAGAATGAGATATTTGTACTATGGTCGCACTATTTCAGCTTTTAATCCCAACACAAAGGCTTAAAATAAAATTTTCTCACTGTGTACCCTATTTGTATGACTAGGAAGCTATACATTTCCACTAGGGAAATAGACGTACATACAGCTGAATAATGGTTTACTTTTAAATTTTTATCCCTTTACGAAATTCAATGAACGTTCTAGAGTGCTTTTTATAAGTTTAACTGTGTAATGAGTTTACCCATTTTCTTACCTGCTAGCATTAGTTTTCTGAACTCGCAGGTACATGTAACCAAAACAAAGCCCAAAACAAACATCCACCTTTTATGTAACATAAATTAATCAATTTCTTACTATATGAAAATTATATTACATAATATCCTTATTATTCCTTTCTAGGATTTTTTTCTATATGTTAAATTCTTATTTCATACAACTAAGTTAAATAATATCAACTGTAATTATTTTATTTTACCTAAAGAAAAAGTTACTTTTAAAATATAAGTAATTTTTGAAACAAAATTCCGGGCAACCTGGCATTAATTTTGAAAGAATTACACAGTAAATGAATTTCTATTTACTTTCTAAATATTCTCCTGCTTTTTAAAAAACTATCTCCAAAAATAAATATATCCTTTAAAAAAATTCTACCAAGTAAAATTTTTCAAATACAAAAAAAGTCTAATCTAGAAACATATGACATAACACTCTTAAAAGCATTTCTAAAATAGGAAACTCAATATTTAATCCCTGGTCTTTCACTTTATAAATATAACAGAAAAAAAAAAAAAAACCCACATTTCTTGAATCGTGAATGTAAGATGTTATGAGTTGAAGAGAATGTTCAATGTGGAAAGAAACCAAAGCCAAAAGAAATACCATGGACACTGGATTAAGAAGAGTTGCCCTTTCATATTCTTAAGAGAACATTTACCAAATAAATATTGCTTTACTACCTGTTTTAGTATCATGGAAAGAAAAACTGATAAATTATGTTAAATGACAGTATGTACATTATTTATTAATGTTCTTGCCCTCCTGCCCTCCAAATGATGTTATTAGAATATATATTAGTAAATTATGATTAATGATTAAAATCACTTGATATAGTTTGCAGAGAACACATTTGTGTTTATTATAATTTTACCTACCTGTCTTGTCTTTGCTGATGTTTCAATAAAAGGAATTCCATAACTTCTTGCTAAGTCCTGAGCCTGTTTTGTATCTACTGTTCTAGAAGGCAAATCACATTTATTTCCTACTAGGACCATAGGTACATCTTCAGAGTCTTTAACTCTTTTTATTTGTTCTCTGGGGAGGAAAAAAAAAGTTACAGCAGAGGTATCAGTAACACAAAAATATTTCAAAAACTGTATACAATGTTCTCATAAAATATGGCTGACTTTTATGTATTCTTAGTTCCCTTCACACCAAATTCTCCTTGCTTCTCCTTCCCATTAATTTTTTTCTCTATCTTAAATAGAGAATGTCTATGTCTCTTAAAAGATCAAATAATTAGAAATGTACTAAAATTAAAATCTAAGAGGTTCATATGTAGGTAGGTCACATAATGAACAGAAAATATTGAAAAATTCTAGGCTAAAAAAGTGCTATGCCTAATTTTTAAAATTATAATCTTAGAAACATACTATGTTAAATATGTATATATAGAATTTAAAGTGTTTTTATAAAAACATTAATTACAACATTAACATAATTTCCACATTCCTTTCTCAAGAAAGCACAAGTGGAAAGATTTTAATTTCTATGTGTACAACACTGATGTTACTACGCTGTTTATTCTGTACAAGTCCTTCTACAAGTTGATATTTTTCAATAAGATGTGCGTAAACTCTAAATTTGGGGTAAAATTACATTCCTTCAAAATTGTAAGTGAATTTCAAAGATGCAGCATTGAAGAAAAAGCCAGTAGACAATGGAATCAGAACTGGTTCAAATTCCCAGTTCCTTTACGTATTAGTTTGCGTAAACTTGGACAAGTTAACGTATTTACACCTATTTACTATTCTACAAAAATATTATCACTCACCCAAATTTTTCTCTATTACTAGACTAGAGAGAAAACATGCTGTAAGAAATGAATAAAGCCGATGAATGTGATATTTGCTTAATGTGCAGTTTTATGAAAACTAAAGCCTCAAAGAAATAGAATATAAATTATACTCAATACAATGATTCTTTTAATAAAAGTTTTAAGATTTGTCAACTTTAAAACTGTAATTGTTCTAATACTTTAATCCTTTACAACTTCAGAGTTTTGTTTTTTTCCTTAAGTATCTAATATCTGATTCCAAAAAATTCTAACCAAATATATGTAATTATTTTTAAGGCTGTTTCAGTGGCACCACCTCATTACCTTTTTACATTTTTGTTGATGGTATTAATTTTTACGAGGGCTCTAGCTTTTAAGCTAAGCTGAAGCCTTGCTCCCCTAGTGCAGAGCAGTTAAGAACATGGGATTAGAGTCAAATAGGCCCAGGTCTCCATCCTGGTGCCACCACTGTCTACACCACCTGGAACAAGTTATTCAACTTTGCCAATTCTCATAAACTTCATTTGTAAAACCAGGATACTACCTACATCATAATTATTTTAAAATTTAAATTAGATAATTTCTGCACAGTGGTTAGCAAAGTCTCAATACATGAAAGATTTACAATTAATCCTCAATGTCCATTTATGATATTCAATTTAAACCCACCTATAATGGTGAATATCTTCAAATGATTTAGTATTATTTATGGCAAATACACAAAGAAAGCCCTCCCCAGTCCTCATGTACTGGTCCCTCATTGCACTGTACTCCTCTTGACCTGCTGTGTCGAGAATATCCAAGAGACAGGTTTCTCCATCAATTACTACTTGTTTTCTGTAGGAATCCTGAGAAAGGAGAAACACAGTCTAGATTATTACGGTGTACCTTTCACTTTAAAAAAGGTATTATACACAACTCAAGAAAAAGAACCCAATTCAAAACTGGGCAAATCCCTTTAACAGACATTTCTCCAAAAAAGATACACGAATGGCCAATATGCACATGAAAATATATTCAGCATCATTAGGAAAGTGCAAAGCAAAACCACTATGAACTACTATTTCATAGCCATTAGGAGAGCTATTATTTAAAGATTAAAAAAATGTAAATAACAAGTTTTAACAAGGATGTGGAGAAACTAGAACCCTTGACCACTGCCAATGGAAAGGTAAAATAGTGCAGCCATTATGGAAAACAATTTGGCAGTTCCTCAAAAAATTAAATGTAGAATTACCATATGATCCAGCAATTCCAATGGTACTATATATAACCAAAGGAATTGAAAGCAGGGACTCAAACAGATACTTGTACGCCAATGTTCACAGCAGCATTATTTACCATAGCCAAAATACAAAAACAACCCAAGTGTTCTACCAATGAGTGGATAAACAAAATGTGGTATATACATACAGAGGAATATCGGCCAGAAAAAGGAATGAAATTCTGATATATGCCACAATATGGATGAACCCTGAAAACATAATGCTAAGTGAAATAAGCCAGGCACAAAAAGACAAATATCTATGAATCCACTCATATGAGGTACCTAAAATAGATTAAGTCACAGAGACAAAAAGTAGAATAGAGGTTACCTAGGGCTGGAGGAGAAGGGGTTGGAGAGTCATTGTTTAATGGGCAAAGTGTTTCAATTTGGGATGATGAAAACATTCTGAAAATAGAGCTAATGGCTGCCCAACATTGTGAATTTACTTAATGCCGCTGAATTGTGCACTTAAAAATGGCTGTATTGGTAAATTTTATGTTACGTATTTCTTACCACAATTTTAAAAAGGTTTACAAACAAGTGTTATAAAGAGATTCACCAATGAAAGTGTACCTATTAGTAACAAAAAGACCCAACTTCTTATAAAAGAAAGCAATTATTACAAAAATGGGATAGGTCTACTAACTCTGTTGTTCAGGGTGCTTTAGATGGCAAGAAAAATCAACTTACAAATAATTACCATGCATCTATTTTATTTACAGTCAAAGGAATATATAAGAGTATGGTCAATACTGAGGATTTTAAAGCCCTTATCCATTTCTGTAATCCTGGGAACAATATCTCACAGACAAATGGATACTACGATAACTCCGTAATAGAGTAAGACTGTCTTATCTGCAAATTCAGTGAGGCCTCTATTAAAAAGGGGAGGAGTAGAGAAAGATGGATATCTTAAAGAGACTATGCAACTCTAAGACTGAGTAAAGAAAAGGGGTAATATTAACACTCATTTTTTTCTGACTTTTGATTAATACTTATGCCTAAAAGATTTCACACACTCTCTGCCAAAATAGGCCTCAATAAATAAGGGAAAAGGAATGGTGAATTGTGAAGTCATGGAATAAGAGATGGGACTGACAATAGATTTAAAGTATAAGCCATGGGCACTGTTTCTTATTGTTCCACAGTGGGCTGTAGCACTAGAGTGTCTTTGTTCATGAATTACTTTATAAACATTCCATCATTAAAAAAGAGAATGGTCATTAAAAATCATGTTTTTTGATGAAATATTTCTAAATGTTTACAGTAGAACACAAAAATATATGTGTAGCATGATCCCAGTAAAATATATGTATATATCTATATAAATGTATCTGTACATAAATTTAAAAACTGATGGGATTATACCAAAATGTTAACAAAGGCTGTCTTTAACAGAGATAATTTAAGAAATAATTTATCTCCTGCTTATCTTTCTTTTTTTCCTAGATGCTATCTTAAATATATTCCCTTTTTTTGGCTTTTAATTTTTAAGTGTGAAAGACTACCATATTAGAATACGATCTCATGCTTACCTTTTAAAGTAAATTGTATTTTCCAAACTGTTTATAATAAAAATTAGTTATTTCACCAGTCAGAAAAAAAATGGATGGGAATTTATTTTCTAAGTAAGCTCTTTACTAAAACTTTGAACATTTGGTTGACATTTTATTATTTTAGCCTATTCCCTTAATTAACTACTTGAAAGAACTCTTGTATATTATAAAATTAAAAACCAGTGTTTTTGAAGTATAATGAAATAGCAGGACTTGAGAGCAAAGTACAGTGTCTTAGAGTTAATCCATTCATTACCCAGGTGTGGCTACAGACCAAAGACCTTTCTTTACCTGCTGTTGTCACCTCACATTCTTCACTTAACAATACTAACCTAAGTCAACCTTACAGTTAATCAGTTTCCTTAGTCTTTAAATATAAAATGTTCTACCAACAATAAAATTAAAGACTACAGTTTTTAGAGCTACACAAGTCTATACCTAAGGCGTGGCTGAGGGATTATTCACCATCTGCCCCCATATAATGTCTCCAAGATGTACCTCAATAAAGTCCCATTTACAAAATTTTCAAATACTTTGTTTCAAAAGTATATAATATAGAATATTGGTAGTTTCTGCATGTATTTCATAACATGTTTCCATGATGAATATTCCATCAAAGGGACTAAGAAACTGAGAAAGCAGTCTCTATTCACCAATCTATCATTCCTATTATCTTTTCCCTTCTAAACCCTAAAAATATTAAAGTTCTGCATCACATTCAGTTATTGAAAAAAGTAATCTACAACCTACTTATAAACAATGAGTAAAATCTGATTAGAAATAACAGATTTAGGTTAAAACTTCATTATTTCCAAAGTTAATTTTAACTAGTCTTCCTTAGAAGTACAATGTCACTGAGATATAAAAAGGCAATGCAATCTGGTAAAAACTTAAGAACAAAAGTGTTAAAAAGCAAAGTATGGTCTAAAAAGGATAGGTTTGCTGACAAAGCAGAAAGCAAGCACAACAAAAATGACATATAAATACTAAAGATTATGTTCAAACTTCAGGTTAGCCACTAGAAAGAGAAAAAACTTAGTCATCAATGTGGAATCTTTCCCGAGATTAGAGTCTAAAGGTTTCAGCACACCACTGCTCGCAGGCCAAATCCTGCCCACCTGTTTTTGTATGGCCCAAGAGCTAAGAATAGTTTTTATGTTTTAAAATGGTTGTTTAAAAAAAAAAAAAAAAAAAAAAAAAAAAAAAAAAAAACTACGTGACAAAGACCCACATGGCCCTTTATAGAAAAGTCTGCCAACCCTGCTCTACGCTACTAAAATACCTTTTCACAAATCTCAAGTATTCCCAACACATGTCACCACTTTGAGAAAGTACAGGTTATCAAAGCCCAACTAGTTTAACAACACACAGATTCTACAACAAAACTAGTTAAGACTAGAGTAAGAAAAGGATCGAGACCTAACATTCTTAATTAGTATTATTTCCAGCCTTTGAAATAGAATAAAACTTTTAGATCGAGTACATAAAGTTACTAACATCCTTCAGAAATTAGGACAAAATAAAGCCATTTTAACGCAATGTAACAAAATATAAAATGAAGAAAAGTTATTCCAAATATTTTCCCTTACTCCCAGCTAAAGTGTTACTGTTTTATTTACTGAAATAGTAAAAAACTTTTCTAAATGAATATACTATGCCAGCAAAAGTTAATCACAGGTAGAACTCAAACATTTCTAGTGATACAATAAACAGTCATAATCCTTTTGGAAAGCAATTAAAGTATTTATCAAGAATCATACAAATGCCTTTTACACAGTAATGCCACTTCAGGTAAACGACAATAAGGAAATATGGTTTATTTCTTTTTAAATGGTAGTTATAATAAAGATATACTTAACATGGCATCTTAAAATGTCTTATAGAGAAAAATTACACAGGTATTTAATACTGACCCATTATCTCAAGCCATTTATCTATCTTCAAAATATACTCCAAATCCAAGTACCCACCAACACCACCACTATCACTCGGGTCCATAACTATTTCGTCTCATGCAATCTACTGCTACTCCTTCCTTTCAGGGAACCCTGTTGTTACTCTTAAACAATATATTCTCCACATAGCAGCTGGTAACCATTTTTAATTATTACTTGCTTTAAATGTCATTCATTTGCTTAAAGTCCTCTAACAGCATCCCTTCATTCTTAAAAATAAAATCCAAAGGACTAATCACTCTCCCTCCTGGGCACCTGTTTTTTTCATAGCATGTTTTATAGTTTGTAACTATGAATTTATTTGTGTAATTGTTTTTAGTCTACGTCCCTTACTAGCCTCTAAACCCCATCATAGTTAGGCTCACCATTGTATACTCTGGGCATAAGTCTTAAACACAGTGGGTAATTGGTCTATTGAATAAATTAATGAATCCAATGTAAATATCTGTCTTATTCAAGGTAAAAACTATCTTATCAAAATAAGCACAAGTTTAATATATTTTAAATTATATTAAAATGTCATAAAATTTTAAATTATAATATTTTGAGTATTTTGATAAATATATTCAAGCAAGTTTTACATAAGAAAATTTTAATGTAAAAATGTAAACCAAACAATACATAGAGATTTTAAAACACTTATGGGACAAAAGAGAACAGGATTGCAGAGAAGACCCACCTTCAACTTATATATCTTGAAAAAGAAAAGGATTGAAACCAAATGTGGCAAATGTTAAAGATATCAAAAAAGTTGTTGATATATGCATGTTTATATTACTTTTTCATATAGCATTAAGAGTGTACCCACTTCATGACCACTAACAATCGATTTTATATTTTTATTTTTCTTTAAACTTGTCAATTTGTTACGCTAAAATTTCTTCTTTAATATTCATTTCTTTGAGGACTAATATATGTTAGTTTTTTTTATATTTTCTTATTTATTCCCATCACTTGTGTCCTTTGCCCGTTTAGAATTTCCATCTTATTTGCACTGACTTGTATAATGTTTTTTCAAAAGTGTTTTCCAGTTTATTAACATGCCTTTAAGTGTTGTTTTATGCATAGAA